GGCTTGTTGCCAAGGTCTAAATAATTCACTCTTTCAAACTTCTCTTGTCACTTATTACAGTGAAATTGATCTAGATTTGCTGGAAGATTTTAACCAAAGTTTTAACTTAACTCATTCTGGTTCCATCTCCTGCTGAGAAATTGCCTCTCCATTCTAGATATGCGGAAGCAGACATGCTCACAAGGGCCCCAGATGTTCTTACAGATAGATAACATTTGAGAATCTTAGTAACATGCAGGTTTTGATTCAGTATACCTGATGTAGAAATGTAAATTTTCAATATAGAGAGTTAACCAGAATGAACAAGTTCCAAACACCAGGTTTGACGTGTTTTCAGTGATTAACTTTATGTTTGCTGCTCTCTGCTGCCTCCTGTTGATCTGAAAAGGGAAGAGTGGAGCTCAAGACCAGTATTTCTCAAAATTGAGACCAGTTCATTTATCAATATCACCTGGGAATCAGGAAAGTCTAATGATGGGTCCCTTCCCACAAATATTGAAATATAAACTCTGAGGATATAACTCAGTGATCTGCATTTTAAGAGAAAATTTACTACTAAGGACCTCTCCAAAGGTCTAAAGAGCAATGATGTTAGTTTAAAGACTAAGGTGCACCTGATTCAAACCATGATCTTTTCAAATACTTGTTGTCTATATGGAAATTGGAAAATTAATAAAGATGTCAGGAGAAGAATCAATGCATCTGAGTTGTGATGTTGGAGAAATATACCGAATATCCCAAAGATTTCCAGGAGAATTAACAAATATGCTTTAGAGAAAGTGCAAGCAGGATGCTCCTTGAAGCAAGAGTGGCAAAGCTTCATCTCACATACTTTTGGCATGTTGTTAGGACAGGCCAGGAGTTTCTACTTCACACTTGTCAATTCCAAGTGTTAGGTATATCTGGTTGGTAGCTGCTATGATAGCAAAATTCATAGAATGTTTTTATCATTCCAGAAATTTCTGTTGGACAGCATTGGAGGTCTAAATGAGGATAAAGAGCAGTCAGATGGTGGAACCAGAACAGCAAGAAGACATTAGCAATACAAACCACGTACTCATTTTTTTGCTTTAGGATATTAATGGCCTGATCTTCTCTCATTTCCATTGAACTGGAATTAATTCATAGCTGACCATCTAGTGGGTTTTCAGAGGCTGTAAATTGCACAGGAGGTGATTGCCCATCCTTATCCCATGGAGTAGCTGGTGGATTTTAATCGTGTGGCGTTGGGACTGCAGCACAGCTTCTCACCACTAGGCTTCCAGAGCTCCCCAAAGTGCATTTATTTGGTTATTGTACCTGTTTTTACTTTCTCAGTCTAGAACACTGTGGGAATGGTGTAGGACCATTCAGGGTTTCTTCCTGCTGTCTACAGGGTTGCTATGAATCAGGACCTACTCAAGAGCACCTAGTAACTACAGTGTAGAATGAGATTGGCCAACACAGCCTGTAGAACACACCCTATTTTGAATATAGTTGAATGGGAGCACAGTCCAGCTTTTTCGGGATTGCAGCTCAGCTTCTTGCCACTAGGCCACCAGAGTTCCTCCTGCTCTTTCTTTGATTTATCATTTATGTCCTTTTTTTGTGCTGCAATAGTAGAATTGACTATTTGTAACAGAGACTATATAGCCTGCTAAATCTAATCTATTTACTCTTTGGCCCTGTGTAGTACTTGGCCAATTCCCTTTGGAATGTTAAGGGTTTATTGTTCAAAATAGCTTCCCTAGTTATGACTCTGACTTTGTCATGTGGATGAGTGGGAATATGTGAATAGAGTGTGTTAGCCTATCCCCAAGGGGGTTGGCTGGTCTCGCCACTAAATGAAGCAGACTCAGTGGCAGATTTTGGAAATTTCACCACCAACAAAGAAGCAAGCTGGCAGTGTGTGTCCTTTGGGGCCGGTGACTCTTGCACCAGCCAGACCTACAGAAGATCAGCAGTGGTGGCCACAGCAAAGAATAAGCCAGAACTGATCTTGGGGCTTCTGCCCCATAGAACCAGAGCTAAGAGCATTTTCCCCAAGCTTCCTGGAGTACTGGTTTGGGAAGAGCCATAATTGACAGGACTAAGGGCTTTTGTAATATTGGCCTAAAGTGGTGACACTCAAGGCTGAAGTGCCTGTGAGCACATGGCAGCAGCTTTCCCAACTGAGTGATGATATCTGCTGCCAATTGAATTATAGCTTTTAGGATTCCCTAATTGTGGTGGTATAGCACTGGTCTGTGCATTGCTGTACAGAGGTAACTTGTGGTTGCTGTGATGCTGAACACTGTGACACTGATGTACCAAATGTGATAATGGTTACCCATGATGGACAGTATTTGCTGGAGCTTCCTGATTAAAACAAGCCTGGAAGCAGGAGTGGCATCCAATTCTGAAATGGCTTGCCTCCGGAAACTCTATGAACAGTGCTCAGGCCTTTCATTCATAGGGTTGCTATGAGTCGTCTATGACGCAATGGCACCTAACAACAACAACAATTGGGGCTAATCTTGAGGAGAATGGGAATCCAAGAACACTTGATTGTGCTCATGCAAAACCTATACTCACACCAGGAAGTAATACTCAGAGTAGCAAGGAAACACTGCATGGTTTAAAATCAGGAAAGGAGTGTGTCAGGGATGAGTCCTGTCTCCATACCTTTCCAGTCTATATGCAGAATTCAGGAGGTTGGGTTATATGAAGAGGGACATGGCATTAGGATTGGATGACTCATCAACAACCTATGTTATGTAGATGATACAACCTTCCTTGCTGAAACTGAGGAAGACCTGAAGCGCTTGCTGCAGAAGGTCAAGGACTGTAGTCTTCAGTATGGATTGAAGCTCAAAATCAAGAAAACAAAGATTCTCACCACTGGGCCATTGGCAGCACCATGGTAGATGGAGAAGGGATTGAGGTTATTAACAATTACAGCTTTCTCAGATCCACAGTCAACACTCTTGGCACCAGCAGTGAGGAAATCAAAAGAGAAATTGCATTGGGAAAATCTGCTATCAGAGACCTCTCCAGAGTACTGAAAAGCAACGATGTCAGTCTAGAGACTAAGGTGTGCCAGTTCCAGGCCATGGTCTTCTCAATTACTTGCTATGCATCAGAGGGCTGGACAATGACTAAAGATGATAGAAGAATTGATGCCGTTGGGTTGTGATGCTGGAGAAGAGTCTTGAGCATGCCATGAGCTGTCAAGAAAACAAATAGGTCTGTCTTGGAGATGGTGAATCCAAGTTCTCCTTGGAGGCCGGGATTTTGAAGCTCTGTCTCACATACTTTGGGCACATAGCCAGGAGAAACCAGTCCTTGGAGAAGGACATTGTTTTTGGAAGGATAGAGGGACTGTGCAGTAGGGGAAGACCCTGGATGAGATGGATTGGTATAGTAACTTGGGAAATGGGGGTAGGTATGTCGGAGTCAGTGAAACTGGCTCGGGATAGGGCAGGCTTCAGAACTGTTATACATAGACTCAAAGTGAGTCGTAGATGACTCAACAGCACATAACAACAACAACAACAATAATTTTGTTCTGTGTGGTCTGTGAACTATCACAGCAGATTTTGGACCCAGGAGAGCAGTAAGATTGGCATTGGGATGAGTAAAAAGAGGTGTGGACGCCTGTCTGACTTCATGGGAATTGGTTTTGTGTTGTAGGCACTGTTGACCGGGACAGTTCTCCATTGTGAAGTTGGTAGAGGTCAGCAATGGCAGGACCCACACAGCCCCGGCTCTCTTTACGCATGTCTAGAATAATTCTTCCACCTTTATTTTTAATATAGTTTTGTCTGTCTGAAGAGTCCACAGATTTCTCATAGAACACTTTTTACTTTAGATCTGATTACATGCATTTGTATATTAAGTTTTTTAGTGAAGTGCTGTATACAGATATTAAACACAGACAAATATTTTTGGGTTAGTGGAGAAATTCCCTGGAGATTTTGCCACCAGAACTCCTTGTATACATGTATTCTTAAATAGGAAATACTCATGAAATTATCATGCTTTATAAGGCAATATAAAAAAATAAATAGAATGAAAGAGAACAAGTTTGAACAGTAATTACAGTATCAGTCTTATCTTTTTCTATACTTTATTTTTTTAGAAAATAGAAGACAATAGAAAATAGAGGAAAAGAACATAATCTTTGATATATGGTAGATTGTTTCAATTACAAATTAAAGTATAAATCCTTTTGATCAAATGTCTATATTATGAAAATAAACTAAGAACCTCTTCTAAAGGCAAATCATAGAAAGGGATTTCAAATATGTATACTATAATGAGCATAAATTCATATATAGACACAAGAGTGTTAATGCTCTGAGGACAAGAGGAACTAAGTACCTAATACAGTATACAGAAAGTGCTAAATAATTGTCCGGGAAATAAACAATTTAATGAATAGCATTCCTCCACATAGCTAGGAAGAGCAAGTTGTAATAAAAATAGTCACAACTTTTATTTTGGCTTGTTTGTTTTCCTTTTATAACAAGTGTGTACATCACACTAAAGGTTTGGGCCTGTCAGTGGGAGCTTATACATGCTCATGGAGATGGCACTCTGCTTGGAATATGATAATGTGGACAGAAGTACACTGGTTTATGCTGTGATTATATGGCTATATGGTTAGAAAATGGCCTTTCCATCCAGTTTACCTAGGTGAAATCCTAATGAATAGTCCACCTCCCCTATCTATCCACCTAAACACTTAACAAAAAAAAATAAAATAAAACCGCCCATAAAGAATAAGGAAAGGAGCATTGTTCAGTGGTTTTATCAGTTACATGGCTGGAGCTGTAGGTAATAAAATCCCTCTTCATTTAAAAAGGTCTCTATATCTATAAAATGATATAATATTCTCTAAATCTAAAAAAAAAAAAGTAGTGCTCCCTAAGCCACAATATATCTTTTACAGTAATCATTAGTTATAAAACCATTATCCACCCCAGCAACGCTCATGTAAAGAGTGCTGCAGAGTTCTGGTCAAAAACAAGGTCATGGATTTAGACAATCCTCTGCTGGCTCTTGAGCAGTGGGTCCTTCTCCTGGTTCCCACCAGAGATTGTGGCCTTTACACGGCTGACGAGCGCGTTCAGGCCTTTGCCTTTGGCCATCTTCCCAGGACTGCTCTCTATCGGTTTGTATTCTTTGTATTTTCTGAAAGCAAAGAGGCAATTATTGAAACATCTGTAGTTGAATTATTAAAAGATCTGCAGTTAGAATACACTGCTCTTTACAACATTTTACTTGCCAATTGTGAGAAAGAGTTAATTCCATCTAACATATCTATGCTTTAGAAGATTCAGAGGACTTAGAAAAATATTTCCTTTTATATACAAGGAATGTGCTTACTTATTCTAATTTGAGGTTATATATTAAACATTATGTGGACGAAGTTTTGTGAAGTTACTGATATCTGGTCATAGTTTTAGGATTAAGACACACAGAGCAAAATTAATAGACCAGTTTGGTTCTCATTATTCAATAGAAGAACTACATGAAATACTTAAAAGCAAGAAGTAAGTAAAAAGGCATATCTGTGTCGAAATGTGCTATTTATTTACGGCATTATATGAAAGTGATTTAAAATATGAGAGTCAGAAACTTACTTGTACACCAGGAGGGTGACCACAATGACAAATATCACCAAGCAGCCCACAGAGATCAGGACCCCATTTGCCATTCGTAAAGGGGACGCTGGATCTTAAAACAGAAGCAGGACCGTATTAGTCACTTCTTCTACCCACAGTACATACTGTCTGTAATTCAATTAAACAAATGAGGACAGGAGCTATCTCAGAAGACACATGGCTCCCTTGGTGTTTCGGTAATCTTTTCCATTAAATAATACATAGGCTTGGGGCCAGTTTATCTTCCACATACAGAGTGAGTTAGTACTTCTGGAACATGGTGTTAAGGGCCCAGGGAGAGGCAAGCCATGTCCTGGAGGCACCTGCTCAGGTCTCAGCTGACCGAGCATTGCTGGCATCAAGAGGTGTTCTGGGATCCACCTGCCCCTCCTCTGCTCTCCTCTCCCCCTTACGGTCCAGCCAGTCGGGAAATCTCATACTATTGCACTCTCACACACCTTTATCTCTCTGCCTGCCAGAGATGCCCTTTCTTCAAGTGGGAAGGTTTCCTTCTACCTCTTCCAGGCCCTTTCTCACAAGCACACAGGGTCCCACCTCCTTGTGTGACACCACTTTCCCTGTTCTCTGCCACCCGCTGCCATTACATTGTGTTCCAATTATTTCCACATAGCTCTCTACTCTCCACTCTCAAATTTCTCAACTAGTCCCTTCTCTACCACCAAGTTATAACCAGCCTATCTCATATTCTGCTGCCATCACTGAAGTCTCAGCCACCAACATCTGTGCCCGGAGATGACCCCTTGTCTACTTTCTTAAAAGTCTTTTTCCATTTAGCAGTCAGATGGACCTAAGAACAACAACAACAACCAGATTTTGCTTAAAACCAGCCAGCGAGAGAGCTCTGGTGGCCTAGTGGCAAGAAGCTGCACTGCAATCTCAGAGGTGCGTGGTTCAAATCCACCAGATGCTCTGCTGGAGAAGGAAGGACAATCTTCTCCTGTACTAGTCAGATCTGATTTGATGGTACACACACACACACACACACACACACACACACACACACACACACATAATTAAAATTTATTAAAAATACCCAAGCCAGCCAGTGGCTCCGTTGTGCAGAGAGTAAATTTCAATCCCTAATGGTTGTTCTAATGATGGACTCAGGCATGGCAGGGCTGTGTGTGTGCGGAGGAGGGAGGGGTGTGGGTGCACACACAGGGTAGACTCTGCTCCCTCGGGTTTTAGTGGCTGATGTTAGTGCAAGTAGATCACCAAGCCTTTCTTCTGAGGTGGTTCTGGGTGGTCTTGAGCCACTAATCTCTTAGTTAGTAGCTGAACATGTTAATCATTTGCACCACCCAGGAAACTCCAGTAATACTAAAATGTGTTGGTTATCAAATTTCAATCCCCACTGGATTAACAGTTTGTCAAGTTGCAAAACCCACTGGATTAACAGGTCTTTTGAGTTTTCGAATTTGATTACATGAGGCTTAGATCACTTATGAAGTTATCACTCATGATAATTATTCTAATAAGAAGAATTAAAGGGCAACAAACATCTAGGCATCTAATCCAGTGAAGAGAAGAATGGTTTACCAGCACTAAGGAAGTATCACAAAATGGATTATGACTCTAAAGGTAATTCTAAAAAAAAAATCTGCTGAATTGAAGAACAAGGAACTCATGCACTATTATTCAAAATGGGTGACCCTGGAGGACATTATGTTGAGTGAGGTATCTCAGTCACAAAGGGACAAATGCTATATGGTGCCACATGTTGTAGAATGAGGCTGGCATTGGGGTGGGGTAAGACTGAGAAAAACTGGATGAAATATGTTTATGGCATTGAAGTCTATGGGGGAGAGAATAGTCTAAAAGTATTATATTTTAGGGCATTATTTTTATCGTAGGAGCATGCAACGAGGGTTGCAGAGTGGATTATATTTGGGGGTAGGGGGTGGGGTTTGGGGAGGTGCGGGGGGATTGTGTACCAATGAGGGAGTTTTTCTATTGCTTTTCAAGGACAGGAGCAAACGGGGGGGGGTTTGTACGGGGAGAAGAGTGCAACAATGAATGAATGGAATTCCAAAATCTCTGTAGATGTTCATTGAAATGAAAAATAAACAAACTAAATTATAAAAAAAAATCTGTGGACAGTGGCAATATACGTGACTAGTTTGAAGAACCACGTTACAGGATTGCAGAGGCTCCATCTACCTAATCCTGTCCCTCCCTCTCAGCTCTCCACCTGCTCTGTAATCCACTTGAACTCAGTGAAGCCAAAGCTCTTCTTTTCCACCTTTGTTCTCCTAAATATCGACACCTTGAATTTTATAATGAAAAATCTTTCAGATTCCACTGTAGCTAACCTCTTATCTGGTTAATGAGTAAATGCACATTAATATATTGTAAAATAAGCTCCAAGTCCAAAGGGCTTGTGAGCAAATTTATCAGTAGACTGTCCTTAATAATACTCAGATTAAGAGAAAGAATGTTGCAACATATACACAATTTAAGGTTTCCCTTCTCTTCTACCATGTAGTACTTCTTCCAACAGATAAAGAATCATTTGACAGCAAAATCAGTGTTAACTGAAATTCAGTTAGGGCTCCTAAATACATCTTGGAGAGATGCTGAATGTCATCAATAAATCAATTTTTACATGAAATTCCTTAATTTGCTTGACACTTTATTTCAAGACACAGTCAAGCATAAGGATGGCAAATGTTGAGTCCCTGATGAACTCCTGAAGGATAGTTAAGTTCCTTTGTTAGAGTCTCAGGGGAACAGTTAGAGGAATTTGGGAAAGAGAAAAAGACACAGCAAATTAGAATGATCCAGAAATCCACTGGGTTTCCTACTTCTCTTCTTGACTTCTTACCTTATACCCTGCTGAATGCTTATTAAAATCATGTCTGTTATCCTCTCGTTAATGAGAGAACACTGTGGCTTTTCCAATGTTGGGTTGTAGACCCACTCCTTGAAATACAAATCATGATGATCACATTGCACAGACATTAGTCCATAATTACAGCAAATTTTCTCATCAAAGGGCTTTCCTTGGCCACTACTT